CCCCTCCCCTTGCACTCTTGCTCTTTGCTGCTGCCATGAAAGGTTGCTTTCTGCTCTGTGCTGCTCTGCATTGGACCCAGCTGAGTATGGACTGAAACCTCCAGTAACTGAGATAAATAAACCTTTCCTTCCTTCATTTTGAGTGTCGGGTATTTGTCCCAGCAACGAGAGAAGAGTAACTAAGACAGGACACATCCCATATCTCTCCAACAAAGGATTGTCTGACATCAAAATTTCCCCCAAAGGAATCTTGCTCTTGTCCCAGGATGATCTTTGCATCGGCCCCCAAGGTGTACCCCTTCCTGATACCCTTCCTTCCCAAGGGCTTCCCATCCATCCAGAATTCAGCAATCCCAGAGTCCGACCCCCAGTTCACACACATATGCCTAGGGTTGTAAGGTGATGGGGGGACCTTGAAAATGGCCTGGGAATTCCCAATGTACAGCTGGTATTCTCCTTCTTTTCAAGAAAGATAAGCAGCTCATTGTCCTGGGAGTGCGTGTTGTAGGAGAAGAGGTTGTAGGGGTGGGTGAGATCTGTGAAGGACCTCAGGCACAGCGTGAAGTTCTGCAGGGACTTCCACACTGAAGGTAGCAGGGACATGTAGGCAGTGGCTGACTCTTGAGGGAAAAGAAGCACCTTCTCTTTCAAATCTGCAGAGAAAAGACAATGTGGCAAAAAGCTCTGTCAACACTCTTGTTTGCTTTGTCTCACCCTAAACTGCCTCCTGGTGGCACATGAGCGTTGAAAGACTTCCTGTGTGTGTATTACCTCAGCAACTCTAGGCTACTGTCAGTATTTAAAAATCATTTTAGGTTCAGCTATCTTGTTACAAATTGAAATTAAAGATGTCCCACACAAATCTGGTATAATTTTACACTCTGAAAGGCCAAGGCAGGATTATCCCAAGTACTAGCCCAACTCGGGAAATTTTTAGGAAGATTCTGTCCCAAAATAAAAATAAAAATAAAATAAATAAAATAAAAAGGGATTGGTAAGCACCTACTTAGGCAAGTGCAGGGACCGGGGTTCGATCTCTTGTACCTCATGCAGCACCGGCCCAGCCCCAGGTGCGCTAAGTCCGAGACAAAGTCTGGGTGTGATGGTGCATGCCTGTAATCCCAGCACTGGGGAGGGTGAAAACAGGAGGATCACTACAAGTCCAAGCTGCATAGTGAGACCCTGTACAAAATACATAAAATTGAAAAGAAGTAGGGGTGCTGGGGATACAGCTAAGGGAAAAGGCTTTGGATTCAAGACCCAATACAGGAAAAAAGGAGAGTCCTATATCAACCTCACCCCCATCTTCCTTGTAGATCCCACCTGGATGAAAGAGAAAATGTGAGCCACAGAAACCAAAGAGCAGCTGAATTGCTGATTCACTGACCTTATTGGGTAAAGCATGTATCACTCCATATTTTCCTACCCCTGCTCAGATTCTGAGGCTTCTCGCATGGGACACTTGTGGCTAGAATTAGGTCTAATTTTAATGGCTTAACTTGGCTGTGATGGATCAACACTTGTGGTTAGTGCAAAGCTGAGGAATCAAATACTGTTCATACCACATGGCTGAGACCACTGCTGCATGCCCCCCTCCCAATCTCTGTGGCGGTTCCTGGGTGCCAGTTCAGGACAGTTCCCCCACTGTTTCCCTGTGGCTGCAACATCAAGACTGTGGAATTACTTAGCATTGACTTATTTCCTCTTAAAACCCCCAAGAGAAGAGAAGGGCATAATCATTATAAGAACTAGTATTTTATTATTCAGGAAAGTAAATTTAACAGATACTATGGTCTGGAAAATAAATTAAAGAATAATGACTAACTGAATCAAGGGAGACACAGCCTAGAAGTAATATGAAGTCATGAATTGAGTTAGTTTTGCTTCATACTAGGAAATGGTAAAACAGCATGAGTTGTTCTTTCCTCAGATACAAGGGCTGCTTAAGAAGTGCTTACCCTGGACAGAGGATAGGAGCAGAGCACTTAGGGAGAGGATGATGGGA